GGCCACTTTAAGCTGGCTGGGGAATTCTGGGAGTTGAAGTCCACTCATCTTAAAGTGGCCAAGTTTGGACAACACTGCCCTAGACATTTTAACTGCCCTCCAAATTACTTTTGTGATAGAACTGGATGTTGATCTGGGAGTCTCTGATCCTAGTTCAGCACTCTAACCTTACTCCACAAATATTTTAGTTTGATGAAGGTTTAGGCCCATGGGGGGAAAGTAATGCTGGTATTACAGGATCAGATTTTGATCAACCAGTAGCTATTGTTTCCAGCAATATATCGTTAATGAAGAACGTTGAATAGTCAGATTGATACTTGCTTGTGACAGGTATGTGCAACAGTGTGTGGTGGATGTGCATATATTTCAAATGTGTCCACCCCACTATTTCTTTAAGGCACAGCATAAAGATGTGATTGTGGTAGTCTTCAAGTTGCAAAAACAACCACAACAAAAAACCACTAGCTGAAGTAAACTGGTGGGAAGGAAATGGAACACTGTGGAGTTCATCATCCAATTAAGAGCAGTAAAAGAGAACCCTGGTGTGTGCAGAGGGTGATTATAGCTTCTGTGCAGTAATTTGCTGTGTTTAGGGACTGCACAACTTGCTCCATTCAGAGATGGATGATCAAATTAGGAGCCGAGCCACACTGCTGTCATCAAGCCAATTCTTCTGAGGGCCCCTTGCAACAATTGCAACCAGAAGAACCCTTTCTGTGGACCTGCATAATTCTGACTTTCATTGATGTCCAGAGCACAAATGCTTGAATGCAAAACTACCTGAGGATACATACAACCCTGGACTGATCACTTAGGCTGGACTTCCAGAGAAACTTCCTGACCCTATGGGCTGCCATCTGGTACAACAGCTTGCCACACTAATGGTGGTTTCTTCTCTGTTGGGGGTCTTCAGTCAGAGACTGGATGGTCATCAATCAGAGGTGTTCTACAGAGACTGGTATTGAGCTGGAAGTTGTACAAGATGACCTCTACGACTCTCTCAACTCTATGATTTTATGATTTATCACCTCTGGCTTTGAGAAGAAATGGCCAGGGAAGTTGTCAGTTTTTTCATCAATGATAAAGAATCCATATGTTCAAAGGGCTTTTGGAGCTGAATCAGATATCAAAGCCCCCCCCCCCCAACATTATTGTTTGAGTGGTGTTGGGAAGTCCTCCAAAGCTAAAATAAGCAAGGCTTGCTCCTTTGAAGATACACAACTGCTCACTTCTGGACAGTTGCCAGATTCCAATGTCAAACAGTCAAGCACGATGGGTGGCAAGTCCTTTTTTTTCTTCTTCTTTAGGGCAGAAGGCAGTATCCCACACAGAAACTGTAGGATTCTTTCTGGGATATCCACTTTGGCTAGAAGATGAACTTGAATTTTTGTTCCAGCCAGGCAGCCTCATCTACTCTCATTTGCTAGAAAGTCATGGCTAACAGAAGAGGTAAAAGGATTGGAGATATATAATGTATCTCTGAGCAGATCTGAGAAAGCAATCTATTTGCTTGGCCACCATGCCCCTGTATTAGATGACTGAACTTTTGAAAACCAGCAAGGACATATTTTGTGTGTGTGTGTGTGCGCATGCGTGCGCTCCTGTGAGATTGATGCTTAGGCTTACAATTTGGAAATGGATGCAAATATCAACATTTATTCTACAGAAGGGCATCTTTTTTCTTGCTCAGTACACAGAAGGGTTGTTTGTAGGAAATCCACTCTCATGGAAGAGACTTCCAACCATCTTGGGGATAACTGGCTCTTTACTTTTTCATCACATATGCAGAGTGGTTGAGTAGGTCCCTGGTCTAAGAGGGCTCAGATGGTAGATATTGGTAGGATGAAGATCTCATGTATTCAAGAGGGCCTTCACTCCTCAGATTTGGTATATTGCAGTCCCTGGGATTTTCCAGTGATATAAATAGAAGCTCAGTCCCTCAGCATCTGTTCTGCATGTAGAAGACATTCAGTATTTATCTTGTATATTTATTGAAAAACAAAATCAGGGAGCTAGAAAAGCTCTCAGAAAAGCTCTCTGCTGGAGACACTGGAAAAAGTGAACATAAAACACTTAACTTGTGCTTTTCTTCATAACTGCATGATGGAATTGAAACCCTTCCCCGTCAGTTATTTCTCTCATAAATTAAGAAATTCTCAAGTGCTTCAGGCTTGGTTCCTTGCATAAGGTGGAAGTGATGAGCTAGCATCTCTGAAAAACAATCTGCCCAGCATGACTTTATGAACTTGCAAAAGACCATTGAGTAATCTATCATGGAGCATTGGGGAGACCCAAGTAGCGAAGCTGATGTGCTCTGCAGGATCCTAATCACAGTCGGGCTTTGAGTGATTGTGCAAAAAGATGGTATATATCCAGCATACTCTGAAAACTGTTGGCCAGAGGGTTCAGTCTGGTGTAAGTTAGAAGATTTGTAGAAGGGGGAATGGTTGGAGAGCTTCAGACACCCTGTTTGAACATCTTCAAGGTAGCAGACGTTGAAATGAAAGCAAATAAAATGGGAGGAACATTGCAAAGAGATGATTAAGGGAAGCAGGCTGAAGATTCCCTCTCATCTCCCCTTGCCATCTTAGCAAGATCAGGCAAAAACCAATACTAGGAAAAAATAAAGGTGTCTTCTAGCAAAAAGCCTCCATTGACACCTGTGAAAGAATATTTATTAGAAGAAAGGGAAGAGAGATCAAAGGTAATGGCCTTGATGTGGGATGCCTTTGAAAAATGGGCCAACAGATAATTAAGTCTTCAAAAGCAGGAAAGTCACTGTGGCTTGCAAATTTGCAAGGGAGACAATCTGAATAAGGGAAGATTTGT